TCGGTGCTCGGCTGGCTGGCGTTTGAGCTGAGTCCTCAGGCTGCTCGAACTGCAGGCTACAGGCTCAACTCATCAGCCTTAAAGTTGGCCCGAAGTTTGGAGCCAGCTAGCAAGATTTGCTTTGTGTGCGGGGTGGGAGTTCTTGGGTGGGTATGGTTTCAGGACAGCACTCAAGATTGCCTCCTGTGGGGCTGGCACCTGGCCACCCCCCGGGGCCCCAGAGGGTGGATGCAATGGTGGCGGAGTCATGTAGTCCATCCACGTGCTCCCTTCTGCTCCTGTTGGGGTTGAGGAGGTCATTATGAAGGGAGCACTCACCTCCAGAAAATTGTGGCCATATGGAGAGGGTTTGGAGGTTCTTCAAAACACGAAGGTAAAACTACCCTCATGTCTGGCAACCCCAGGTCTGGCCAGTGCTTAGAGGAAATGCAGGCCATGTGTCTATGAGGTAGGTACCTGCAGGCCAGTGCCTATGGCAGAAGTCACAGTGAGTGAGACTTTGGACTATGAAGATGTCTCCTGACAGGAGAATGGATGAAGCCATTGTGCTTCGTGTTCACAACAGAATACCGTGCTGCCTTAAAAGAGGATCTCTGGCACTTGAAGGAGCACGGGCAGAACTAGAGCTCTTGGTGTTATGTGAAGTAAGTCCAACGCAGAACGCAAAGTCCATGTGGTCTTGCTTATTTGTGACCCTGGGGTCATGGGTCTCCTACAAGATGACCATAGAAAGGTGGGCTCTAGAGATGAGGAAGAGATGCAGATGAGGAGAGAGAGAAATGTGTGTAGGCAAGGGTCTCGGTGATGGTGTTTGGGACACAGAGTAGGGAGCTCTGTGACCTGCAGCAAACTACAACACATTTCAAAACAGCTTGAAAAGAGAGGCCAGGGGCTGGGGACACCCAGTGTCAAGGCTGCCGGCTGCTCTTGCAGAGGATCTGAGTTCAGTTGCCAGCACCCATGCTGAGTGGCTCACAGCTGCCTGTAACTCTAGCTCCTGGGGATCCAATGTCCTCTTCTGGCCTCCTCGGTCATTTCACTAACACGTGCATACACACAGAGAGACCACACATGTGCACATAATGGAAAATAAAAGAGGATCCAAAGAATCCCAATGTGTGGAAATGATCATAGTGGGGGAGGGGGATATGGCTCCATTGGTAATGTGCTGGCCCAGCATGCACAGAGCCCTGGGCTCCGTCCCAGAACTGCATGTGTCAGGTGTGGCAGCATTTGGGAGGTAGAGGCAAGAGAAGCATGAATTCAAGGTCACCCCAAGCTACGTGAGAAGATAGAAGGCTAGATGCTGCAGGACAACAGAGTGAGGCTCGGGGGAGCAGCGAGCAACACACTCTTGGAATCCGTGTAAACCCAGAACTGATCCTGGCTTTGCTGTGTGGCCTTTACAAGAACCTCGTGTCCCCAACCTCTGTCTGTTTCTCTAAGGGAGAAGACTATCATTTCCTTCCTAGTGATGCCAACAGAGAGTGGAATGGAGCAACAGATAAGAGCACACGGCACATGCACGCCCACCCTGTCACCAGCACAGTCCAATACCAGCAAAGCAAAAGGTCTGACCCGTCACTGCCACTGTGGTTAAGGAGTGATGCCTTGCTTATAGGTGCTCCCCTCCTTCTCCTCACACCTCTTCCTCCTCCCCCCACTCCTTCCCCTCCTGCTCCTGCCCCCTGCCATCTTTCCTGCGATTCGAAGGATGGGCTATGTCTAGGAAGGGCCAGCTGAGTTGGCCACAGCACCCAGCAACCTGCCAGTCAGCGTGGCCATTCGTCAGTCACCTTGCCTGACTCTGCAGAGTCGTGGAGACAGACTGTCAGTGACTTGCTGCTTCCATCCCCATGGCACAGGAGCAGGCAGCCCTGACGTCATCCTGTCTGGCTGTACACTTGACCTGTTGAGAGAGGCCAGGAGACAAAGCACAGGCTGCAGCCTGCAAGGAAGCTCTGCTCAGGCTCCCAACCCTGACTGCACCCAAACTGTTTACAATTGGCCGCAGCTGGGTCTCCCAGGCTGGGCACCCTGACCTGTCACCTCCTCCGCATAAGCCTCCTGACCTGTGTCTCAATCCACCATCTACAAAGACAGTCGCCATCAATCATGAAGTAAAGCCCCAGTGAGTGCGGGACCGCAGCTTTTTTTAGCAAACCCACATCTCTGATCTTCTGGGGCAGATGGAGGGTCTCATTCTTTATAGAGGGAGCCGAGCTGCAGAAAGATGGATGAGCCAGTTCCCCAGCCCACCCACCCCAGCCTGGTTGACTGCAGCTGGCAGGCTTTGAACCCACATCTCCGAAGTCTCAGTGCTGGACCAGGGATCCATGTTTGGCTCCTAGGTGACCTTGATCCACCCTCTTGTCACCCACCCCCACCCCTTCCTCCTTGGTTCCCACTTCCTGCTGTTCTGGAAGGAAGGCTGGCTGAAATCAATACCACCCAACAGGTGCATTGGTTGCTGCCAGGTGTAACTGTTGGGGTCCTCAGAGATCACACCTGCGCACCAGCTCCATGAACGTTAACCAGACTTTTCAACTGCCGCTCGAATCTGTTTAGATGGTGGCACCTGAGGGGCCAGAAACCATGGGTGGGGCAGCCTCTGTCTGCAGGCCATGATCAAGGACAGCAGTCAGACCAAGCAAGGGCCACTGTCGACAGGAGAGAATCTCTCAACACCTTTTCTGGCGTTGCTCATGCTGCTCTGGCTTCCACGGAGGAAGGCACTATGATTTCCATGAGGAGAGCCGGCAGCAGCTTGCACCTAGGATACAGACCTTCTTGCTGAGGGATGACAGCCCCAGTGAGCAGCAGGGAGCTGCCCTCACTGGACAGCTGAGCAGTCTGAGACTCTGGGGGAGCCAGCTGCAGCTGGGAGCAAGCATCTCAGGAATGAAATGAAGTTGATTTCTGTAGCTCTGCAGGGCAGGCTGCTGGGCCAGCCTTCCTTGAAGAAACTGTACGCACCACTGCTCAGCTTAGAGTTTTCCAGTTTAAGATGCTGTCCTGGCTAGTTTTGTGCCAACTTGATACAAGTTAGAGTTGTCCGAAAGGAGAAAATGCCTCCATAACAGCCAGTTGCAGAACATTTTCTTAATTAGTGATTGGTGGGGGGAGGGGACAGCCCATCATGGGTGGGGCAGTCCTGGGCTGGTGGTCCTGGGTGCTATAAACTAGGAGGCTGAACAAGCCATGAGGAGCAAGCCAGTGAGCTTTCTTCCTCCAAGGCCTCTGCATCAGCTCCTGCCTCCAGATTCTGTCTTTACATCCTCCAGTGGGGAAAGGAGGAAGCAAACTGAGGGCAGCCTCCCTTCCCTCCCTCTCTCTCCCCTCTCCTTTTCCCTCTTTCTTTCCTTCTCCCTTTTCTTCTCTCTCTCCCTCCCTATCTATCTCTCTGTGTCTCTCTCGCTGCCTCTCTCTCTCTCTCTCTCTGTCTCCAGCCGAGGTATGGAGCAGCAGCTCTGATGCACTGCAGCCCTTGGCCAGCTTCACCACCATGCCCCCTCACTTGGTAGAGGGAAACCTCAACAGGGAGGCAGAACACACCCTTTATCCCTCAGCGGCTTCTCGATGGGTGTTTGGCCATAGCAATGGCAGAAATAACCAACACGCTGGTGTGCTTTGTGTCACTTCTGCTTGAAACGCGTTGTCTTCTTTGCCAGTGTCTCCTTTTCCTTCTGCTGATGCTTTTCTTCTCTGCTGCGCTCAGTGCTAGGCGCACCCGATGGGCTGCTGTATCTAATACGCACATTGGCCGTAACTATCCTTATCCAATAGGAAACAAGCCAAGTTTCTGGGAGCTGGAGACTCAGTGCACAAGGTCACACAAGACCAAGTCGTCACCAGAAACTTGCAAGTCTGGGACTGAGATGTGGCTCAGTGGGTAGAGCCCTGACCTAGCATATGAGGTCCTGGGTTTGAGCCCTGATACCACCTTAAGACTGGGCATGGTAACACACACCTATAATCCTAGCACCCCAGAAGCGGAGGCAGTAGGATCAGGAAACCCAGTTCATCTTCAGCTGCACAGCAAGTTTGAGGGCCGCAGGAGCCGTAGGAGACCCTGCCTCTAAAAGAAAAAAAAAAAAGTGAAACTTGGTAGTTTGAATCTAATGGGGCGTACTGAAGTCTAAGCTTTCCCTGAGAACATTCAATCCCGCCCTCTACTTCTGCTGTGCTGCTGTTTGCTCACCATAGATGCTGTGGAGACCGATCCTCTGTCGGCAGAAAAAGAAAGTGCTCGTTTTAAACCCTTGAAAGAAAAACCAGCGGTGCTGCCAGAGCCATGCCCTTTCAGCCATACTCTGACAGAGCTCAGGTCTTTTCCGGGGCTGGCAGTATGTGCCACTGTGACACTGGGCACTGCTGGCAGCTCTATCCTGGTCACATGTGGGTTGACAAAGGGACCAAGGGACACTCAGTCCAGGGCACGGGGCTGCTAAGCCATGAAGCTGGGTGGGCCTGGTATACTCTACGCCTTCATCTTGCAACCCACGTGTTGCAACATAATTCCACTGTAATTCAAAGTAGAAATAATCCGCAGACCAACAAGGTCCAAGGGTCCTGTCCACCCTCCCACCCTGGCCAGCTCTGGCCCTAGACCTCCTCCCTCAGGGTCCCTGCTCTGGGGAAAACCTCATCCCTATTACCAGGGGATGCTGGCGCTCCTCATGAATATGACCCTGAACCAATCGGCAAATAACTGTGTCTCCTGCAACGTCCATTCCTGCCTCACATACAGCCATGGCCGCCATTACCAGATAGGTGCTCTTGGCTTCTGAAGCCTTAACCCTTAGTGGGTCCCAGGCTGGTGGACCCCAACGCTTCAGGAAAGACAAACAAAGGAAGTGAGGAGAGGAAGATGGGAAGGGAAGCCAGTGAGCGTGCTGACCATCCAGTCTGGGGTTTCACCTTCAGAGGCCGCCCTCCAAAGCTGATAGGAGGTAACGCCAGCCCAAGCTAATGGTTATATTTTCTCCTCTTCTCCCCAGATGTTGGTTCAGAGGGAGACATGCACCCTTCCACGGCCTACCTCCTGCCCTCTGCCTCGCTGGAGAGCCTCCTGGAAGAGGGTGTGACATCAGCAGCCCCAGGTCCCCTGCCTTCCCAGGAAGCTCTGGAAGGGTCATTGCCCCCAGCTCTCCTTGAAGAGTCCACCCGCATCCAGCATACCCCAGCCCTCAGGAAGGGCCTGCCGTCCCTGAAGCAGCTCAACTCGGCCCGGAGGCAACTGAGGCCCCTGGCTACCCCGACCACTCTGCAGAGACTGGGGTCCCCGGCTTTGGCGGCCTCAGGGGCCTCAGCCGCCACCAAGTCACATGCTCCCGAGGACCCCGAGGAGCCCACAGCGCCTGCACCGTTGCAGATAGCACCCTTCACCCCACTGGCGACTACACTCCCGCACAGCCCGCAGCCCGCAGAGGCCCCCGACGATGACACCAGCCCGGGTAGCTCACTGGACAAGGGTGACAATGAGCTGACCGGGTCTGCCTCCGAGGAGAGCCAGGAGACCACCACGTCCACCATCATCACCACCACTATCATCACCACGGAGCAGGCCCCAGGTACGCCGAACTCACCCCACCCCGCCCCTCGCCTCCACCCCCGCCCCTCACACACCCTTGCCCCTCACACACCCAACCCCTGCTGTGTAGTTCATTTCTGAATTTTCCATAGTGGGTGTGGAACTAGGGCTTACACCTGGAGGGAGGGCAAGCTAGCACTGAACCACTCAAGTCCAACCATGGCTTAAAAGTGTTCAGAAAATGTAGGTGCGTCAGTCCTGTGATGCCCCAGACTTCTTCCTCACCCTTATTTCCTAAGCCACGCAAGAACCGCTCACACAGCATTCTGTTGTGATTGGAGCGTAAGGGAGGAGGACACTCATTTCCTCCACCTTTCTACAGAAAGGGCTGGAGCTTAGGTGGAAGCTGATGTGCAAGGGAGCCGTGGGGACTCCCTTCATGATGTGGATGGACTGCTGAGCCTGCGCTTTCCCAGCCTGGGCTCGGTGCCTCTCCACGTTAGGATTCTTCTCCTCTGGGGAGGGGCCTCTGCTGTCAGGCATGCGTCAACTTGGCAGCTCGTTGTGTAAGGGAGGGTGCAGACCAGAGAACTAGACCTCTCCGTGGGCAGAAAGAAAGGTGGCTGCCAAGGCCATCTCTACCTCCAGGGATGGGGCTGACAGAGAAGAGCAAAAAGGTGGAAGGCAACAGGATTTTATCTGACAGTCAACAAAATGGGGTCTTTGAACGGAGACAGACTGTTTAGACTGAACTGGAACTAGATGCCCCTGCCAGAGGTAACTGACCTTTGGGGTAGATTATGGGGAGTTCCTGGGAATCAGAAAGTCACCTTTAGGCTTCTGCTTACCAATTAACAACCTTCTGTCGACCCAGCCAAAGACCTTCTGTTTGGGACACTGTCACCAGCACTGCCATTTGGGGGGTGCCGCTTCAGACAAAGCGACTGAAGGCCGTCAGCGGGGTCTGGATCATGCGTGCTGTGTGAGCATGGTCCAGACAGGGCCCTCCCCGTGCTTTGGTTTGTCTGTACTTCAGATGGGAATGGATGGCACTCTCTCTCTAAGGCTGAGTGGGGCCGCCCCGGATGGCTTGTCACTGCCGTCAGGACAGGGCAGATTCAGCAAGAGGCCAATGCAGACAAGGCAGCAGCTCCCACTGAAGCCGATGGCTGCCGGGTTCTAACCTTGGTTCCCCTGCCCTTCCACGGACACCCCTCTCAGCCTCTCTTTTCCTGCAGCTTCTCCTTCCTGTTGCCCAGTTTTGTTCTTATGTTGACTCCAGGGGTGGATGGGATGAGATGGGTCATACAGGAAAGCACAGAGCGACTAGAAGCCAGGCTCCACCCCACAGCCCATCTGTGAGTGAGCTCCTGGGCCGGCAGCAGCACCCTGTGTCCTAATGGCAGCGCTCCTTTCTCTGTAGCTCTCTGCAGCGTGAGCTTCTCTGACCCAGAGGGATACATCGACTCCAGCGATTTCCCACCACAGCCTGTCAGCAACTTCCTGGAGTGCACCTACAACGTGACGGTCTACACTGGCTACGGAGTGGAACTGCAGGTAGCCCAGGGCGCCCGGCTTGGCTCCTCTCTGCTGACCTCCCCGTCATGTCTCCTTCCCTCACATCAGGGCTACGTTAGTCGAGTTTTATGGAGAGTGGGAGTTCCCAAGTGCATGGGCCACTGAAGCCTGAAGACGTGATGAGGACACGCTGGCAAAGCATTAGGCTGTGTTACCCAGGAAGGAAGAAGCAGGCAGCACGCACAACACCTCTGTGCAGGGGGGGCATGGGTGCACAGTCCCTCCCAGGTGCCCCCTCCAACCCAGACAGCGGAAATAGCAGTGAGTGCCTGGAGAGAGGGCAGGTGGAGGAGAGAGAGGCCCAGGGAGACACGCAGGCAAGAGCGCCTCTAGCTTGCCAGCTCACCGGTCCACGGACAGGAGTGTGTGCACTCAGTGTGTCGGTGGCCGTTCAGCAGCCAGCGAGGCTGCAGGCTCCTCTCTCCGCCCTCTCTGAGCCACACCACTGCTGCCCAGCTCTGTCTACCCACTTTGTTCCCAGGTGAAGAGTGTCAACCTATCAGAGGCGGAGCTGCTCTCTATCCGAGGGGTGGATGGTCCCAGCCTGACAGTCCTGGCCAATCAGACTCTCCTGGTGGAGGGCCAGGTCATTCGCAGCCCCACCAACACCATCTCTGTGTACTTCCGGACCTTCCAGGATGATGGCCTAGGGACCTTCCAGCTGCACTACCAGGGTAGGGTCTGCTGGGGCCAGCCAGATGGAGATGCTGGCCTCGCTTTCCTCCGACACCCGGCCACACTCGTGGGCTTTTTCCTGTCAGGGAACTCTGATTAAAACCACAGAGTCCTCCTTTCTGACTAAGAGCAATGGTTTTCAAGGGTATAAGAAGGACTGTGCATAATTTTGGAACTGGAGGGGGCTCGGGTAAAAGGCTTGTCGTGCAAGCATGAGGAGCTCTGCTTCCATCCCCAGAACCCACAGAAGAAGGCAAAGCAGGGCACACCTGTAGCCCCAGTGGTGGGAGCTGGAGACATCATGATTCCTGAGGCTTGGTGGCAGGGTGTGCCAACTTAGCCAAATCGGCAAGCTCCAGGCCAATGGGAGACCAGACCTCAAAAAATAAGACAGAGAAACAACGAAGCTGGCAACTCCAGCCCCCAGGCTTCCCAGGGTCCCCCTCCGTCCTTAACACAGAGCTGCTGCCAGGATGTGGGGCGCACTGCTTCCCTGCCCACGGCTGATGCGCCCGGCCTTTCTCCTTTCTCCCCAGCTTTCATGCTGAGCTGCAGCTTTCCCCGCCGGCCCGACGCTGGGGACGTCACAGTGATGGATCTGCACGCGGGTGGGGTGGCCCACTTCCACTGCCACCTGGGCTACGAGCTGCAGGGAGCCAAGACTCTGACCTGCATCAATGCCTCCAAACCCCACTGGAGCAGCCAGGAGCCCGTCTGCTCAGGTACCACCCGCGTCCACCAGCCAGGGCATGGGAGACAGCACCCTCTAGGGCAGCGGCTCCCAACCTTCTTAATGCTGTGAGCCCTTAATACATACAGTTCCTCGTGCTGTGGTGACCCCAACCAGAAAATCATCTTGTTTTTCATAACTGGAATTTTGCTCCTGTTATAAATATTCATGTGAATACCTGACATGCAGGATTTCTACTATATGACCCCCGTGGAAGGGTCATTCAACCCCCCAAAGGAGTTGAGACCCGCTGCTCTAGGCCATCTGGAGAAACCTCTCAGTGAGGCTCCTGCCCTCCAGGCTGTGTTGTAATAAAATGCACAGAGCACGAGTTCGGCTCCTGAGGACCCCTCCCACAGCACAGCGCTCTGTGCCACCGCTCTGTCCAGCGGGAACCTTGCTCATTAGCAGTCGCTCAACAGTCTCCTTGGTGGCAGAGGCCATCCTTCTTAGCATAGTTGGGATGCTCAGCCTTCATCAGACATAGAGCCCCACCCACACCTCAGCAACCATCTTTCCTCCCCTCTGATCTGCCAGTTGCAAGGTCTCACGTAGGCAGCACACACATGGCTTCTTCCATTCGCCGCAGGGTTCTCAAGATCTACCTGTGTTACAGCACATATGAGCACGTTGTTCCTTTTCATGGCTGAGTAACATTCTGTCGGGAGGGTTGTGCTCTGTTTTGTTGGCCCATCCATCAGTGAGCGGACATCAAAATTGTTTCACTCTTTATCTAAGCGGCTGCTCTGCTCTGAACATGGAAATCGGTTTTTATTTCTCCTAAAGACAGTTCTCAGGGTAGAGTTGCCAGGTCATACCGCATAACCCCTCCAGGCCCACTCTGCCCACAGCAGCCTCACCGTTTCCCCTTCCCCCTGGCTGGACAGCAGGTCTGTCCCTGGCAGCCCTCACTGACTCACTTTATTCTGTGTTCTGTAATCAGCACGGTAGGTCTGTAGGCACCTCACCATGTTCCCATGCTACCCTGGTAAGCGCTGCCGTCACGTGTCTTCTCAAGTGTTTGCATGTCTTCTTGCAGCTGACACTCTAAAGAAAGGGCTCTTCAATCCCTTTGCCCATTGTTTAAGAGGCTCCTAGGTTGTTGTTGTACTATGCGTACTCTTTACATGTGCTGAATCAAAACCTTTTTGAGGTACGATTTGCAGGCCTCCCCTCATCCCCGCTCTGTGGTCTTCTTTTGACCTGTTTATATGACCCTTAACACTACCCTTTTTACAACAATGAAGTCTGACTCGCCCCTTGTTTCCTTTGCTGTCTGGACTTTGCAGGTAGCTAGTGCTGTTTTGTCTTGTTTTATGAGCTTAGTCAACATGAACTCTGAAGTTGGTGACAGCCAACAACTAAGGTAGCCTGATGCCCTCTGGTGGAGAGAAGTGGAGGAGGCAGGCCTGCAGGTGGAATCCTAGACTTGGCCCATGGGCCTCTCATCTTTCAAGGATCCTTGGCCTGTGGGTTCATCACCTGCCAGCACCCATGAGCTTCCACTATTTCCTGGGCTTTGCACTCACCATTGGAGCTATGAGGGCCCTGCTTTCTCAGAGTTTCTACCCTGGAGCAAGATATGTGTCTTAGTTACTGCTTTGTGGCTGGGAAGAAACGTCATGGCTAAGGAAACTATTATTTAAAAAAGAAAAAAAAAATCATTTAATTGGGGTCTTGCTTACAGTTTCACGGGGTTAGTCCATGACCATCATGGTGGGAAGCAGATGGGCATGGCACTAGAGCAGAAACTAAGAGCTATGTATCAAGATCCACAGGCAGGAGGCAGAGAGAGACACTAGGCCTATCACGGGATTTTGGAGCTGCCAAGCCTCCCTCAGCAACAAACTTCCTTCAGCGAGGCCACACCTCCTAATCCTTCCCAAACAGTTCCAGTCCCTGGTGACTAAACATTCAAATATATGAGCCTATTGGGGGGGGGGGGGCATTCTTATTCAAACCACTACAATATGTGACCACATGAGAAAACATGGCATGTGGGGGTGGAGCAGGGAGTGCCAGAGAGGGGTGTAAAGATAGTGTCCAGAGCAGGTGGGGACAGGAGAAACTCTGTCACCATCAGAGAAAGGGCTAAGCGGCAAGCGGTGGTGGTAGGACTCCAGGGAAGGAGTCCCCAAGGAGCCGGGCTGTGGAAGCTGAGTGAGAGGTCACAGAGTAAAGGCAGGGGATAGAAGTCGCCCCTGCCAGTGAGCCAGCCTGTGCAAAGACCCAGAGGTGAGGGGTTCAGCAGGTTTGAGGAAGTCAAAGTGTATCAGCACCGCTTGAGAGGCAGAGGCAGATGGATGTCTATGAGTTCAAGGCCAGCCTGGTCTACACAGCAAGTCCCAGGACAGGCAAGGCTCCATAGTGAGACCCTGTCACAACAAAACAAAAGACTACGCTGGCATGTCAGAAGATGACAGGATGGCACAGGAAGCAGCAGCCTGCCCCTCACGAGGGACTGTCAGGGGTGAGATCATGTCTCCCATGTCATTCTAGACACACCTCAGGTTCAGAGGGCTCCGCTGGTTTGTGGGACGTCTATCACAGGTAGGTGGCACAGTGGAGGTCTGAGCCTCAGGCTGATGCTGACTGACAGAAGGACAGTGTCCCTGCGATGGAATGAGAATCCTGCCCTCAGGAAGAATGGCTTCTCTCCGCCCTGTCACACAGCTGAGTCCCGGGCAGAGAACAGTGATCAGACTTTCTCTCCTGCTGCCAGCCCAGTTCCATCATGTTGTCATTCATCAAATACTCCGTGAATGTCTAGGCAGTGTCAGAAACTGAGCCCCCCCCCCCCCAACCCCAACCCTGGTCCCTCTCTGAATCATCAGATGTCACTGTGAAAAACATCCCACGAAGCATCGCCAGCCGGCATCCCAGTGGCTCCACTTGTTAGCTGTGTGCCTTGAGCCAGCGAAGTAAATAAATACAAATTATTGTTTACCGAGTACACACTACAAACTATATCATCTGGTTCTGGGACCAAGACTAAGACCTCACAGTCATCACAGCCAAGAGCCCAAGCTGTTGTGAAATATGTTTGGCAGATAAATTCTTAGAAGGCAGGAAATGGAGAGTTGTGCCCCCATTGGTGAGAAGAGGTGTGAAGAAGAACACGGAGGATGGCAAGGAGTGGCTGAGATATATCCACTTGTGTGCTCACCTCGGGTGCACAGGGACCCATGGGCTAGATCCCCAGCCCGTGCGCAACCTCAGCTCCCAGGAGGTGGAGGCAGGAGGATCAGAAGTTCAAGGTCATCTTTGGCTACACAGGGAATTTGAGACCAGCCTGGGACTAGTGCTTGGACCAGAACACTTCCTATATGGCCACCATCCTCATTAAGGACCTTTGGATCAACTCTCCCACATTAAAACAGACCCACATCGTGACCCCCTGAGACCAGACCCCAGCACCTCCTCTCCGCTGTAGCCTGACAGCTGTGCAGCTCTCCCTCGGGCCACAAATCACTTAGTGGTGTCACCTCGACATATTACTTTAACATAAAAGTGTTATATGGCTCTGGCTAAAAGAAAATTCCAGAAACACAAATGTACAAGAGACGGGAACAAATCACTTTTATATTCAATGGTCTCAACCTACCCCTGCAGATGGCTCAGAGCAACGGGCCAGGCAGGCCGTTTGCTAGCACGCTTCTTCAAGCTCTGGGATTCATTCGTAAGCAGTCTCTGAGAACTCAGTGTTTGATGGCTCCGTAGAAACCCGATGTGTGCTCCGAGACCCGCTCCAGTTCTGGTTTTGGGTTTGAGGATGAAGGCGGAGCTGAGCAGCCTCATCTACAAGTCAGTTCAAATCTCCAAAGCTTCCCGTAGGATGAACTCCCAAGGCTCTTTTCTGGGTCAGGGCGTTCCGACATAGTTTTAAAACCATTTCTGCCGAATTGCCCTTTGGGAAATGATTACTAGCCACCTGTCCAGTTACTCGTTGTAAATAAGGAAGACCATGCCTGTTGCCCATGCTGTTTTATTGCTATTTTTTAGCCTGCCACTGGGTGGGTGAAAAGAACACAGCTGGGGTTTCTTCCATTCTTCCATTGCTGGAACGTCTCCACGCTAAGTCCTAAATAACACGCTCGTCCTGTGAACCGCTCTCGTCTGTCCTTGGGAATCGTTTCAGAACTGAAAGTGTAGGAAATCAAGCCAGCACTATGGTTCAGTGACTTAAAGCACCTGCCACCGAGCCTAAAGACCTGAGTTCAGTCCCCAAGACCCACATGGTGAAAGGAAAGACTTGACGCCTGTGGGCTGTCCTCTGACTTCCACAGCAATGTGACATGAGCACAGGTACACACACACACAAATGAATGAGTGAATGAGTGAGTGAATGTGAATTTTACAGTGACCGTCTAGGCTCGGTCAGCACCACAGAGCAGTCTTTACATGGAGTTCCTCCCTGCAGGGGCACACAGGTGTTGGTGAATCCAGGCATGGAGGGTTTGACAGGACAGCAGACCCCTCCCCTGTGTTCCCAGCTCCACCCTAGCTAGAGGACTTCGGTGGGTGTGGTCAGGAGAGACAAGCCCACCAAGTCCTCTCTGCTCTCCCCTCGCCACCTCACACCTCGCTTTCTGCACACAGCCCCGTGTGGAGGAGCGGTGCACAATGCCACCATCGGCCGAGTTCTCTCCCCCAGTTACCCTGGAAACGCCAATGGCAGCCAGCTCTGCGTGTGGACCATCGAGGCTCCCGAGGGTCAGAAGCTTCACCTGCATCTTGAAAGGCTGCTGCTTCATGAGAAGGACAGGTGAGCTGTGCACGCCGGCCTCCCCTCTCCAGCTTAGAGAGGGTGGGGTGTGTCGTCGTCTGGGTGTGGCTGAACCCCAGAAAGGAAGCCCTGAGGAGGCTGACAAAGAGATTGTGACCCCTCTGCTGGCCATCAGGAGAATGAGGCACTCAGCAGGAGAGGAGCCTGCCTGAGCCACACCACACACACACACACACACACACACACACACACACACACCACACATACATACACACACACACATATACACACACACAAAGGGCTTCCTCTTAGGCATCTCTTTCCTGAGTGGAACAAAGAGTATATTTATTGAGCACCTCAACAGTACAAAGCCATGATTAGGCTCCACGGAGAACAAGCACAACACAAATGGCGTTGGCTCCTGGGAAGACAGGAAGCAGAGCTGGAGAAGCTCTGAGCTGCAGAGAGCTGGGTAGGCTGGGTGACAGACTGGGGCCCACAGAGCCTGCTGCAGAGTGAGGCACTGCCTGACTACACATTGCTGGTCAAGCCCCACCTCTCAGCCCGCAGTGACCCATGACCCAGCAACTACCCCGGGTGCCCCTGCACTCGCCACAACCCTCCCTGCATCCCTGAGGGTCTCAGAACAAACAGGCAGTCTCCATTTCTGTGAGGGACAAGGAAGACTGAAAAGGCGAGATTTGGGTTCAGATAGGAGACCCAAAGTCAGCACTCTCCACACACGCTCTCCCCTGTGGCCTCAGTGTCACTGACCCTGGAAGAAATATCGGCCTCCCTAAGACATGTGGGCATCCCTCAGACATGCCAGCATCCCTAAGATATGTCAGCATCCCTCTGTCCTTTCTCCCGCCAGGATGATTGTCTACAGTGGACGAACAAACACGTCGGCCCTCCTGTACGACTCACTCCGAACAGAGAGCGTGCCCTTTGAGGGCCTGCTGAGTGACGGCAGCAGCATCCGCATCGAGTTTACCTCCGACCAGGGCCGGGCAGCCTCTGCCTTCAACATCCGCTTCGAGGGTGAGGGGCCCTTCCTTGTGAGGCCTGGGATGGGACATGGGGCAGTGCAGGGGGTGAAGGACCCAGTGCCAGACTGGCCCACGATCTCCAAGAGAGACTTTCTGTTTTATTAAAACCAACTTCCCTCTAAGCACCTCTTGTGCCTGGTGCACCCCCCCCATCACTCACTCACTCTTTCCTTCTTTTCTTCTTTTCTTCTTTCTTTTGAGTATGGATCTCATGTAGCTCAGGCTAGCCTCAAACTCAATAAGCAGACCAGGGTGACCTTGAACTTCTGATCCTCCTGCCTCTCCCTTCCAAGTACCAGGATTATAAACATAAATCAGCATGCCTCATTCATGCAGCCCTGGAGACCAAACCTGAGGCCTCCTGTATGCTGGCTAGGCAAGCATTCTGCTAACGGAGCCCTATGAACAGCCGCTTGCTTCTCTCTTTCGTTTTGGCTTTTTGAGGCAGGGTGTCTCTAATACTCCAGGCTGGCCTTGACCGTATAATTCTCTGGTGAGGGACTCACAGGTTTGTGCCACCACACCGGGCTTCTGTGTGTGCTTCCTGGGTGACTCTCACCACACAGAGATGTGCAGCTGTTGTCTTCACTCACATGAGAAAGTCAAGGCAGAAGCAGCTAGGGAGCCTTGAAGCCTCACAGTGTGGCTAAGATGGCGGCCAGCCTACCTGGGAGCCCTTGCCACTGCTCTGCTCCCCCGAGTTATGCCCCTGGGTGTCCAGCCTCCTTCAAGAACAGCCCGGAGTTCTCCTGCCCAGATCATGTTGTTTGGTGTACCCGAGGGACTTTTCTGGAAGTGGGCCAGAGCACGGGCCTAGAAAGAAGTGAAAACACTGCATCTCTTTGGGGCTGGAGGCAGAAGGTTTTATCTGCATTCCACATGCGAAAATGAGGCCCCAGAGGCCAGGTGCCTAGCCAAGGTTAGTAGCACCCTTCTGTCCTGAGGCAGGCTCCTCCTCAGAAGCTCAGGCCGTCCTGGAAAATACTGTGTAGCCCAGGCTGGCCTTAAACAGTGGCCTGCCTATCTTAGCCCCTTTAGAGATAGGATTACAGACATGAGCCTCCATGCCTAGCTCTTTGGAGCGCCTTTACTTTAAGCTATTTCTAAGCAGTAAAGGGTGTCTCCTCCCTCATCTGTCTACAACCCCTCTCTGTGTCCCCACCTCAGCCTTTGAAAAAGGTCATTGTTATGAACCCTACATCCAAAATGGGAACTTCACCACATCGGACCCCACCTATAACATCGGCACCATTGTGGAGTTCACCTGTGACCCCGGCCACTCTCTGGAGCAGGGCCCAGCCGTCATTGAGTGTGTCAATGTGCGTGACCCATACTGGAACGACACGGAGCCTCTGTGCAGAGGTGAGCCACCACCTCCCCCAAGGCCAGAGTGCCCAGAGCCTCCGCCCTGCTGCACAGAACAAGGCCTCAGCCTGGACGGTGTGGCCACATTACACACTGGTTTTAGGATGAGGCCCTTTCCAGACAAATGGTCTTCTGGGTCTGGTTGCTGCTAGTTCTCGGGGGAACCAGAAAATGGTGCTCCTTCCTGCAGGCCCAGGACCCTCAGAGCACAGCTGCTGTGACAGGGGAGCCCTGCCCGGGTGTCAGCTCCTAGGGGCCCACCCTGCCTCACACTCCGCTGCTGTGCCCACCCCAATCAATGGCACACGGCAACCCTGGTCTCCTGAGTGGTCCCCACTGCTGATCATAACCGGGCCCTGCTGACAATACCCTTTGTACAGCCACACCCAGTAGACACCAGCCCCACTGATGAGGAGGAATCAGACACAGTGGGGCAGGGGGAGACAGTCCCAAGAGCATGCTGGGGTCACTGGGACAGACAGAGTGTGCTCAGGGCCTGGAAAATGTTGGCTGTGACCACCTTCACTTCCACTGGCTCCCCATTTCCTGCATCTGAGGCCACTAAGCCCCGTCATGGGGAGGAAGGAAGGGTGTCCTCAAGCCGGCAACCATCTGGCAGTTGGCATGAAGTCATTGCCTTGCTCTGGTGAGGGATTGGCCACTGAATTGAATGTGCTACATTAACAGAGCAGAATTTATTGAGGCTTCAGCCTCTGCCATACTGAGGACTTTCCAAGGCAGTAAACAGTAGAATTGAGAGAGCAGCCGCTGCGCCTCTGCTGCCGGTCCAGACTAAATCCTTCAGAGACTGGACTGCCACCTGAGCACTCACTGGGGACAGACAAGGCACAGCAAGCTGGCATGGCGACCTCAGTCACGCTCCATCCTAAGCCAGTGGGCTGGCAAGGACATTTCCTGAGCACACAAGGAAGGACACACCTTATCCAGAGCTAGTGAGAGGGGTGAGCTGTCCTCAGTGGGGAAGACACTGCCAGAGCTGCCGATGAGGCCAGCAGCATTTCTCAACACACACTCACACACATGCAAGTGCCCATACATACACACAGCACTTGTACACACACGGGCTGCCCCTAACGCCACTCCATATGGGCACATGGTCGGGTTGCACAGGGACGCACAGATGCCAACTTTGCCCCCCAAACTCCCAACCGTTGTGCTGCGTTGGCTCCCTCACGGTGGTGTCTTCTTGTCTGTCCGCCCGCCTGCCTGCCTGCCTGTCTGTCCGTTACAGCCATGTGCGGCGGGGAGCTCTCCGCCGTGGCTGGGGTGGTGCTGTCTCCAAACTGGCCAGAGCCCTATGCAGAAGGCGAGGACTGCGTGTGGAAGATCCATGTCGGAGAGGAGAAGCGGATCTTCTTGGACATTCAGTTGTGAGTGTCTGAGGCGCCCTTCTCCAGGGCACAGCAGCGGGCTGGTGGGGGGAGCTGGCCTCAGCTTTACCGTTTCGGCCAGGATTAACTGAGTATCTAGTACATGCCGGGCGGCTGCAGGGCCCTGGGGTTGCCATGGCAATACAACCGGCAGCACGCGAAGAAAGCGTCCCTGTGCTCGTTAATTCATGCTGCTAAAGAGAGTAATGTTCGGGGCGGGGCAGGGGGGGACAGACTGTCACACGTGTGACTTCGGTTAGCAGCGTAAGGGAGGGTCATGGCTGCTGGGAACTCACTCGACTTCAAGGAGGAGGGAAGGAAGGCTTCCTTCTGTAGCAAAGCTCAAACTAAAGATGCGCAAAGGGCCTTTTCTGTGTCTCTCACTGCCTGTTTATGTATGCTGTGAGTGGAGGCTGGGGCGCGCATGTCACAGCGTGCGTGCGTGCAGCGACTTGTCGGAGCCCATTCTCTCCCTCTACCTGTGGGTCCCAGGAATGAACCTGGGCTTGTCGGGCTTGGCATCACGTGCTTTTACACACCGAATCACCTTGCCAGCCCCCCAGTCTTTGAAGGACCAGATGGCCAGTATGGGCGGGAGTGAAGGGGGCTGTGCCATGTTCCCCCACCACCACCATAGTACACTTTGTTTCTCCTTATCTGCCTTCCGCAGCCAGCACGGAGGTCCCTGCCAGTCCCAGTCTTGTCTTTGCCACCTTGGACTACACTAGGTGACTTAGGAAGTAACAAATGAAAGTGTTTAGCGGATGGGAGCAGCTGCTATTTCCAGCTATTTCCCACACTCCCTGGGCATCCAGAACACCACCCCCACCTCCAGGTCCCCAGGAGGAAACTCTGAGCCCAGAGTGAAGGTGCTGGCTCTGGGCGCTTGTATCTGAGGTCATCACCCTGTCTGGAGGGCAGCCTCCATGGACTGCAGGAGGGAGGCAGTTTAGGCTCCACAGGCTGAGAGAGTCACAGCCTCCGGTGGCCTCCCAGCCACCTCCTCCCTCTGCCCTCTGTGCGATGTGGACAGGGACAGATGGCGCTGTCTGGAGAAAAAGTCTTTCTGGCAGACCCATGTGAGGAGAAGCGGCCAGAAGCAGAAGTCCAAGGGCTCTGAAGGCAGCAGATGGGTCCCACGTGCCCGGTACCTATCTTTGTAGTGTAAATTCATTGTGTTTTGTGGTGGTGTCTGTGGTGCCAGATCCGTCCCCACCCTGCCGTGCCCCCCCCCCACTCTCTTTCAGTTCCCCTCAAAGGGTTTCCCTTACCTTTAAAAAAAATTTAGATTTTTGCATATGGGAGAAAAAATGTGGCATTTGTCTGAGTCTGGCTATTTTGCCTAACGTGATGGTTTCCAATTCTATTTTCGTGCAAATGGCATCATTTTCTTTTTCTTTACGGCTGACTACGGCTCGCTGTGTAAACACACCACATTCTCTTTATCCACACATCTGTCCCAGACATCTAAGCTAGCCATAGCGCTTGTGAATAGCAATAGGCCTGAATGTGTAAGCTCTCTGTGCAAGGCTGACTTGTGTCCTCTGGAGACTACACAGAGAGCTGCCTGGGATCCTACTCTCGGTTTCTGGAGGCCCCTGCACACCAGTTCCCAACACGGTTGTCCTCGTGTGACCCCCACCTGCGATGAAAAAGTATCTCTCTTCCCCACATCCGTATCAGCGTGTGCTGTCATTCGTGTTGTTGGTAATAGCCCTACTGACTAGGGTGAAATGAGCTTCTAATTTGTCTGTCCTTTGCGACTAAGGACGTTGAACATTTTCTCATCTTTATTGGCATGTGTTCACTTTGGGGAACTGTCTGTTTGGTTCATTTGCTCATTGATGTATGGAGTTATTGGTGGCTGTTTATTTGTCATAGTCTTTACAGACAGTCGCTCGCAATCCTTTGATGTGGCATTGGCAAAGATCCACCACTCTGACTGCCATCTCTGGTGGCTTCTGCTGGTGGCTTCTCTTGCTCTCAAATTCCATGCGGCCCCGTCTCTTGATTCTTGCTGCTTTCCACTGAGCTGTTGGACTTCCTCAGAGAGCCCTCCCCGTGCCAGTATCTTGGGATATTTTCTTATATTTCCTCTAACAGTTCCAATTTTGGAGCTTAAAGTAAATTTTTTGATCTATGCTGATCACATTTTTGGGGGAAGAGAGACATAGATCTATTTCTGTTATGTCACAAGTTTTTCCAGCACCATTTGTTGAAGATTCTGTCTTTTTTTTTTTTTTTTTTACTCCCAGTGTCTGATTTGGGCACCTTTGTCAAAGATCAAGTAACTGTCACTGTTCATTTCTGGGTCCTCTGGTTATTCCTCAGGTGTGTGTGTGTGACTGGACTGTTAGGGTAAAGCTGTTCCCAGAGGCTGACCTTGGCTTTCCTGCTCCAGCTGAGCCAAAAGCCCCACACATCCTGAACAGCTGATCTTCACAGGCCAGGAACGGAATTTTACCTCCTTTTCTTCACAGCATTCTCTCTGGCTGCAGCTTCTTTTATTTTCATTGGGGGCCATGGAAATTGTACAGAGTGGCAAGAGTACTGAATGGCGGCCGGGCAGCTAGGGATCCTGGGTAAATCAGGGAGGGTGGCCAGGAGGAAGCATTCTCCAAGCAAGTGTGGAAAAGAAGAAAGCAAACGCAGAGAGAGAGGCCCAGTGTTCCAGCTGCGAAGACACCATCCACACAAGCTGGAAGTGAAGGAGGGGTGGTCCAACTCGTGAGGTCTACCTCATCTCGGGCCTGGGTCAAGTCAGTCAAAGAAGAGACCAGTAACGAAGGTCATCTCTGGGATTCTCTTAACTGAAGCTGCAGAGAGAAAACTCCAGAGCAGCGTGGGGGCTGAGAAGATGGGCCCGTGGGGCTTGCCTCCCAATTGTGAAGACCTGGGTTCAGATCTCCTGCACACAGGTAAAGGCCAGCTGGGCGTGGCAGCCCACCTGTGATCCCAGCACTAGGCGGAGAGAGACAGGGGGCCCTGAGGCAAGCTGACTAGCCAGTGAGAGACTGCTTCATATGTGGCGTGGAGAGCAGTTGAGGAAAGCACCTGACATCAACCTCCGTCCTCCAGTGCTCATATACGCATGTGCACACACATGTAATTAAGCACGTGAACAGGCATCACGAGCTGTTGCTCTCTGAAGTTTGCTGTAGCTCCCTTTTGCTCTGTTTCATTACAACCATACAACTGTACTCATGAGGACTTTATTGCCCCTGGAAGTTACCAGGCAAAGTCGACGAGCTCCGGCGGGAGAAGAAAAAATGGACTCCCAGGCTCTCCATTCTTGAAGTGGTCCCACCCATCTTCAAGCCCCACCCAGTGAGTTGTTGAGGACCCCTCCCCCCCATTTTTGCTTATCTCCTCTCCTTAGGAAGCCTCCCAACTGTGCAGTTTTGCCAGCACCAAACCAGGCGCCTCCTCGGGCACCTTGGCCTGGCTGAGGGTAGAGGGAATATCGGAATCTTCTTTCATCCTTGATGCACACCAAACAGTCAGTAAACCTTCACCCTGGCACCTGATTGGTTTTATTTCCGATTCTGAGCCCGGTCATGACAAAGAAACTCAAATCATTAGCTCAGAGTCCTTCCCCAAAACCAGGCTATGGCAGCAGCACCAGGCGGGGCATCACTGAGGACAGGGGGCCTCTCTTCTTGTTATTTGGGCAGCTGAAGCAAACGTTGGCACCCCAGCTCCCACCTCCCAGTGTTTTAGGTCAACAGATCTCCCGTGCAAATGTTAGAGGGGAGATGTGACCTCCCAGCCCGGCACGGCCAGGAGTGATGCAGGCAGGGAGGGAGGGATGTTGGTGTGGCTTTACAGAGGCAGAGACCTAGGGATGGGGAGTCCTCCACTGGCTCCTGCAGGCCTCCAGTGTGAGCCCCATACAGAAGAAAGTTACCTTATCAAGAGGCTGGAGAGGCAGCTCAGTGGGGAACATGCCTGCTGCACAGCGGTGAGGCTCTGAGTTCAAGACCCCAGCACTTACATAAAGCCACTCTTCTGCAGCATCCTTCTGTAATCCCTGTGATCCTACTGCAGGATCTGAGAGGCACAGACAGTGACACGGGACTCACCATCTTCTGTGCTCCTCCAGTTGTCACCTCTCTGGCTCCGCCCTCTGCAGCGCACACACAGCTTGTCTTCTAGGCTCAGGCTGCCTCCACCTCACCATTGTTGCTGTCCTTGGCAGTTGCCCCATGGTACTGGCGTTTCCAAAAAACGCTGAGATCTTCTGCTGCAGCTGCGCTGCACTTTTACCAGTGGCCTCTCCTGAGCTCTCTTCCGGAACTCCAGCCCTGCCTCACAGAACCTAGCCTCAGCCGCTCCCCATGACCCCTTCATGCCTTCAAAACCAGTACCACCTGGGTGATTGTTATACTACCAAGGTCAGCTGCCCGTGTGAGGTGCAACCTTGGCTGCCTCTGGAGCGCAGCTTCTGGGTGCCGACCGAGGAGAAACTTCCCAGAGGACTTCACCTCAGTGATGCTGGTCTCTTGTTAATCACAGCTGACTCTTCAACTCCAGCTGACTAGAATCCATTATCCCAGCAAAGCAAAGGTTTCACTTTAGTAGTTCTGGTCTCTTGTTAATCGAAACTGATTCTTCAACTCCAATTGACCAGAACCACGGATTCTTCATACCAATGGCCCAGTATGGTCTTTGCCTCCCTCTGACACTGTGAAAGCCAGAACTCCATCTCTGTACTGCTCTGAGCAGTCTTACCTCCCAAATGCCTACGGAACAGCTCACTGAGCTCTCAACACTCAATGGCTTTTCTAGTCCAAAGTCACAAAGTCCTTCCACAATCCTCCCCCCCCAAAGCATTGTGGTCAGGTTTGTCACAGCAATCCCAGGTACTGGCCTTGGTACCAGATTGTCTTTTGCTGTGATGAAACACCACGACCAAAGCAACTTAGGGAGAAAAGGGCTTATTTGGCTCACACTTCCATATCATTCACTGTTCATTGTTGAAGGAAGTCAGGGTAGGAATT